GGGATGGCTTGGCGGGTGTGGCTGGATGGGTGTGGTTGGGCGGGAATATGTGGGGGAATGCGTGCCTGCGCGCGCAGAGCCCGGGCCAGCGCGCGCAAAGCTGCCCCCCGGCGGCGGCGAGGCGCAGCAGCAGCCACAACCCCCGGCATGTGACGGCATGCGGCGGCAGGCGGCTCGGCAGGCGCACCCTCCCCGCGCGCACGGCCTCCGCCTGCGCCTGCAGCACCAGCGCCACCTCCCCCTTGCTCCACTCCCGCGTGTGGCTCTCGGCCACCAGGAAATGCGGGGTTAGGGTGAATGGTGGGGTGGGGGAGGGCGGGGTGGTGAAGGAGGAGGTATTGCATGGGGTGGTGAAGAGGTGGGGGAGAGAGGACGGCCGCTGGCAGTGCGCTGTCAAGCAGAGGCGCCCCCTGGGATAGGGCCCCAGGCGGCGCCCTCCCCTGCCCCCTTCCTGCTGTCCCGGGCAGGCCCCCGCCCATGCAGCGGCCCCTCCCTGCAGTATGGCTGCCCTTTCTAGGGCCCCGCCCCGAGGCCTGACCCCCCACCTGTATGTCCTCCCTGTCGCAGCGGATGGTGCACAGGAAGTGCAGCGCGCGCACCCTGCAGGGCAGGGGAGTGTGCGTGTGCGTGTGTGTGTGTGGGGGGGGGGGCACAGCAGGCGGAGCCAGGCGTCAGGTGTGTGTGTGCCCCGCGGTGTGGTGGAAGAGAGGGCTGCTTGTCGGTCACGGCTGCTTGGCCGAACAGGAGCTCGCGGCACACACAAGCTTGCGGGCAGGCAGGCGGCGGCAGCGGATGGGGCCCGCCGGCAGGTGCTCGCGGGCCGCTGCTGCATCAGCAGCTGCCGCGGCGTGCGTGAGGCGGGCGCAGAGACTTGCCCTCCCACCAGCACCCATGCCGCCGTCGCATGGCCGAGGCAGGCAGGCAGCGGGGCGGCGCACCTGTCGCGCGCGGACAGGCGTGCGTAGGTGTAAGCCTCAAAGTATTTGTCGGGCTTGAAGGGGCAGTGGGCGCCGCCTGCGGGGGGCAGGGGCAGGGGTGTGGGGGCTGAGCTGTTTTTGTGGTCTGGGTGGTGGTGACGCATGCCGGATGGGAGGGTGGTAGGAGGGATGTGCGGCGGAGAATGGCCCCCCAGCAGAGGCCCAGCAGGCACCCAGGGGTGGCTTGCGCAGACGGCAGGGCGGGGCGGCATGCGTGCCGAGCCGCTGCCTCCAGGCCCACTGCCCCACACCCTCCAAGCCCACGCCACCCCAGCTCACTCAGCAGCGCCCTCCAGTGGTACTTGATCTTGTTG